AACTGATGTTTGATCTCATGAATCCTGGCACACTGCTCTCCACCTTTAAAACTTGATATCGTGGTACCAGTATTTACTCAGTACTGGAAGATAATCCAGTTCTGCATTGTCACACACTGCTAGAAAGAAAGGAGGGAGCTTTGATAACCAAGCTCACCACAGCCAGGTGTAGCTCATGAAATAAAGCACAGCAGAGAAACCAGAACAGACACAAGCAGACAGACACGCTTGTGTGAGTTTTTTAAGGTGGACTTGGACACAATACGAACAGGCTGTGTGGGCGTTCTCTGTCTTGCCTGGAGGGATGAAAGGAGGAAGCCTCGGCTGAATCCAAAGACGTCATGTTTGAAAATGTGTTTCTGTGCAGTTTCCATGGGGACGGTATTGACATTTATATCCCTGAGTACTGTCTGTCAGCAAGCTGTCAGTTTGTTTCTGACATGAAGGTGTGCAGTAAGGCCGGGCTGGTTCCTCTCATGCAGCAGTTTCTCTGCAAACGTCTCCAGTTTAACAGAACGATATCTCTTTACATTAAAAGTTCTTAAACTCATAGTTTCATAAATATTGATCACATGTTAGCAGTTAATCTTCTCTCTACTGCTGTGAAACACAAAGAGAGAATCTAACCTTTTATCACCCAAGATTCAAGAGACAAGATTCAAACAGGCCGTCTGAACTTATTTTATTAAATTTGGAATTAAATCACAAAATTCTCAGCTTTCAGGAGCCATTTGAATTTTCTCACTGGTCTGAAATGTCTGATGAGTTAAAAAATAAAATCTTGGGGGAGCTGATTTATCTGCCTTGTTAAACTGTCTGAGCACAGAAAAGCAAAGGACAGATGCACCAACAGGTCAGAACGTCACTTTATTTAAACAAACAGCCTCCTGGTCAGAGAGCGTGTCCTATTCTCAGTCTCCTCATGACGACTGGACCCCGACTCTCACCTCTCCTACTTTCCTTTGTTTAGTCATCCTCCTCCTGGATTTCCTTCCACCTCATCAGCAGTAATGACTGATGCTGACCTCATCAGTCTCATCACCACCCTCTTCTCCAACTGTGGTCTCAGAAAAAGTCCACTAGTTTTCACAAACCCGAGAAGTTACTTTCCTGCAAAGTCCACACATGAATTCAGAATAAAAAAACAACAACAGAGTTTTCAAAATCTCCTTAAAGTCATTTAAAGGAGAAATAAGTAAACTACTTAATGTTTATGCTTCCTTGTTTACTTTCCTGCTGAGTCATTTAACAGGGAGTGTCCTTTTTTCCAGCTGTAAAAAGAGAAACTGTGTCTCTGCTGCTCCGATGAGGAGCTCTGTGACTGGTTTTGTGAGACTGCTATTCACACTTGAATGAGAATGAAGCAACACTGCTTTGGATCTTCCCTCATCCTTACATGCAGCTGTGGATAATCTGTTGAAGGTAACCACTAACACTACTAATGCTATCATCACTGCACTTTAGAGCTAATGTGAAAGAAGCAGCTCAGGCTGTTAGCAGCAGCACGGAGCCCTGATCTGTTTATACAGCACACACTCATTCTGAATGTAAAGTACATGTGTAATTTTACTTTTTACATGCCTGTGTAATTTTATGTAATTAATATAAGAAGTAAAGCTCACAGGGCGCACACGTCAGCCACAAGCTCAGGTGAGCAAACTCAGTACGAATCCATTAAAAGTTTGCCAGGCTCCACAGCAGTGATGATGTGGCCTGTTAGCGCACAGTTAACCGGAACAGATCCAAACATGGATAACATTTTAAAAGCCAACAGTAAACAGCATGCAACGCAGTTAAAGAGGTTTGTGCAACAAAGGCAGGGCTGTGAAATTACTTTCAATGTGTAGCTGATAATAAGCCAAAGCGTCTCCATCAGCTGGATGCAGGTTATGATACTGCAGATGTGACTTCACTGACCTGATTCACACATTTTTGGTAAAAATAAATAAAATAAAATAAAATAATTCTTCATGGATCGCGTTAAAGCGTTCAGACACTTTTATCTGTTTATCTATTTTTACATTTGGCAGCGATGCTGTGATGCTTTCATGCTGCAGCTCCTCTTTACTTCCCACGGCCATGAACTCAAGCTAATCCTCGTTTCTTCTGTCTGCTCACTTAAAATGAGCGGTGTAGATTAGATTAGATGAAACTTTATTAATCCCTCGGGTGGGTTCCTCCGGGAAATTCGGTTTCCAATAGCAGTTACAGAATGTGAGCAGAAATATACCATATATACACATATATAAATACAGAGTATACAAAAGGGATAAATATAATAAATAGGAATAAGAATACAAAGGAAGTGCACATTTCAAGTATTGTCTAGTAGAGTCTAATTGTAAGTAGCAAATAACTAATCTGAAAGGGGCGTTTCACGGATCAACAAACATCCTTTGCCATTAGTAACAGCCACTCCAGAGACGTTTGCTGCAGGAAACTACTGATCTGCTGATTTAGCACACAAAAGAAAACAATCCTTTGAATTCCAGTAAAGATTTCATCACTGAGTGCGCTCTGACTGCTGGTTTGTTTGTGCAGAAACAAGAAATATACATGAAATATATATAAAGCAAGAAAAAAGTTACAGAAAATCATACGAGATTATACAAACTATCAGTGGAAAAACCAAATGAATGCACTGATATTCTCGTCACAGCACAGTCAGAGGTTTCAGTAACGACGGCTTAATAAGATGCACATATAAAATGGGATACTCTGGGATTTTTGTACTATCGGGGTAAATATCCCATGGTTACTTATCCAGATGAGAGATCAACAGGTACAAACGAACTAACCGATCAATTTTATGGAACATGACGTATCCATTCCTGGAAGATCCCTCAGTTGTGTGTGGATAGTAGCATTGCCTTAAATCAGGGGTGGGCAATTCCAGGCCCCGAGGGCCGATGTCCTTCAGGTTTTAGATCTCACCTTGGGTCAACACACCTGAATCACATGATTAGTTTGTTACCAGGCCTCCGGAGAACTTCAGGACATTTTGAGGAGCTAATTTAGCCATTTAAATCTGCTGTGTTGGTTCAAGGACACACTAAAACCTGCAGGGACACCGGCCCTTGAGGCCTGGAGTTGCCCAACCCTGCCTTAAATATTTCATTAGTAAATAATATCTGTGTGCATTTAGAGGCAAGTCTACATACGTTCATGCAGCACTTTTAGCACTGAAATACTGCATTATAGCTTTTCCTGCTGATTTACTTTAACCTCCTAGGACCCTGCATCCACATATGCAGTGGACATCACATTTTGGGTTATTTAGACCAAAATACTCAATTCTGCTCTACAAGGGCCTGATATCCACTTACAAGGACATTATACTGCTACTGTTCTATCAAAATTTTAAACTAATATCCTCATGTGGCTCTTATTTTTCATAAAAACAAGGTAAAAAACATTTGATAATTCTTTGTTTTTACATTCATCGGTCCCCAATATGCCCAAATATCAAAGAGAAATAAAAATGCATGCCGTGGAAGAGTTCGGGTCTTAGGAGGTTAATTCTGTTGTGAATGACCATGACAGACCTGGTGACATATTTATGCTTTGCAGCATTCTTTATTAACACTCAGGGTTGCTGTGCATACACACACAGAGCTGCAGCTCTCCCGCCGCCGGCTCAACATAACCAACAACAATCACAATGAAGGACCCAGTGCCATATTAAGTTAGCAGGGTATGATTGCGAATGCCGTGCAGGGAAGGCAGACACCCCTGCACGGCCCACCACATCTGTATTTGTCATGGTTGCTGTGTGGCAGGCAGGCAGGAGTGGTGGACCCAAAATGCAGAACTCAAACACGGAAGTGAAACTAAAAGTGCAGCTTTATTGCTGGAGAAAAACATTGTACAAACTAAACTCACCAAAAGGAAACCAAAAGTCAGAACAGAGGAACCAAGGACTGAAACACTGGAAAAGAAAAACTAAACTGGAGCAGGAGACTAAACACTAGGAACATAGAAGCAGAACACACAGCTAGTAGAGGGTACGACGCAACACTGACTCAGAGAAACACAGGGACTAAATACACTGGGAAGTAACGAGGAGAATGAGGCAAAGAAGGAGAGCACAGCTGGGGGAAATTACC